TGAAAGGAGTGAAATTATTTCCTTATGAAATTAACTCTTCATGAAGCCAATACTCAGGAACTCACACAAAACAGACGCCATGCAATAAAACAATAAAAATTATCTGAAGAAGAAATCTTCAAAGAGAGCAAACAACAACTCTCTCCTCGCCCATTTACGACCCCCTTCTCCCCCTGCCCGCTCTGCCTCTCCCTCTTTTCCCCCAAAAGGTTTCACTCAAAGTTCATTAAGAATATGCATATCCCACATATCATGTATCTTGTGAACCTGTTGTTTTTCCCCTTCATGTTTAGTGTCATTTTAAAGGTCTTTGTGCAAAACAGGTATTAGTCTACCTACACCCTCTGACTAACATCAGACTCGCAAATTTGTGATCGTAAGATCCACGTAAGGCCAACGTGAGACTTAAAAGAGACATTAGGTCCCCAGTGAACGGATAATTGAAAGTATTGAGTCCGGAATAATCAAATATCTAAATTAATATTTGTGATCATTAAATTTAGGCAATATTTCTAAGCAATATTTCGATTTAAAAACTGATCACGTGAAATTGGAGTCCGACTGAACACGGAGCTAGACTAAAAATTAAACTAAATCCTGATAAATTCAGAAGCGCAAGTAAAAGACCGAATACGCATTAAACCTTCGACCAGGCCGCTGGATTCTGGCTGGCGGGTGGATTCTTACAATATAAATTAGCAACAGGTTGATGGTAAGACCTGCTGGGCATTGCTGCCTGACGCACCACCGCCAGTGCCAAAAATATATATAAATATAGGATGGTAGTTGAATGTACACAGTACATTTCATTATTATTATATTATCAAGTACATATATATATATATATATATATAAATCAACTGTACTTGATAATATAATAATAATGAAATGTGCTGTGTACCTCCAACTACCATCCTATATTATTTCCTGATGAATATGTCACATTATGAAAGATAAATGCATTGTGAATGTCTATTGTGCCTTCAGCACATGCAAGCAGAGTATAAATTACTCCACCGTCAAACAGCACATCACTGGACCGACAGTTCTATTGTCATTAATAGAGCTGAACATGTCCATCATTAGAGCAATGTTCTATGTAACTCGTTAACAGCCTCAGATGGTTAAAGTGGAGCAGTTGGGATGCAAAACAGTGGAGGCAAGGACACAGAACATGATGTTTGTTGAGAATCCAAGAGTGACAGCTCTGATTAATGGCGCGCTCTCCCTGTGCCTGCGCACTGCAATCTGTCACAGTCGTTTAAGGAATATGGTAATGGAACTATGCTTTCTAAAAAGTCTCACTTACCTTTTCTCATTTTTTTTTTCTCCAGGAAATGTACAAAGCCAGCAAATATGAGGTTTCCCCAGATATGAAACTCGTTCTGCTTGCCTACAACGTGCAGCCGGTGAGACCTGTGTTTATGTGGGTGTTGTATGTGTGTGTTGAGATGAAAGTAATCATTGCACGATGTGAAAGGGCCGTCACACTCCACCGCCTCACCAGAACCAAATACACCCCACTGGAGTGACAGAAACCGAGCAAGCGCGGGCACACACACACACACACACACACAAACACACACCTGCCAGTCGAGGGAGAGGAAGACAGAGGCTGTTTTCACACTTGGTTTGATTGGTTGGTCTGAGCTCGACTTCTATTCCACCCTCACCCCCATCTCTTTTCATATTTTGTTATACAGTATGGCTCCAAACCACAGGGTGTCTGCATGATTGTAAGAATTAGCCGCAGGTGTTGCTAGCTGGGCAACAATTCAAAAGGAGATGGCACCAAAAATCAGAGTTTCTACACTAATAGAAAGCCTGGAAATAGCAGGGAATTTGAAAGTGTGATTTCCAGACTTTGAAATTGAAATGTACATTTTTAAATGTAAAGGAAATGTCTATGTTGTACTTTTCAGTTCCAAAGTATTTCATCAGCTAACAATTACTACTAAATGATATTTATCCAATCAGATGGAAAAGTCATAGTTGAAAGGAAATGTTGTGCTTTCTAAGGAATGCATTAAGGAATGCTACTACCACAAATTATCATCAATAGCAGATCACTTTCATAAATTTGGTCAAATTGTCTTTTGTAGTTTTTATAGTTTTTCATGTTTAAAACTGTATATTTTTATTTTTGTATTTTAAAATAAAATAATTGTATATGTTATGAATAATAGTGTTATTAATTTAATTATTAAAAGTATTAATTAATTCATTTAAATTATTAATTAAATTAATTATTTTACTATATTAATGTTTTCCCAGTTTAACTTTTTTTTTTGTTTTAATATTTTAAAATAAAAATATATTATTTTTATTTATTTTTCTATGAAATTTAATTAATAATTTTTATGTGTTATCAGTAGCAGTTCTCTTTCATAAATTTGGTAAAACTGTCTTATAGTTTGGCATCTCAATTGTACATTGTACATTTTATTTTAATATTTAAAAAATATATATATTATTTAAGTTATTTTAATATTACATTTTGTTAATAGTATAATCAATGGTAATATTAATTTATTCTTAATAATATTCATTTTGTAACATTTTATTTCTTATTTTACTATATTAAATGTTGTCCCATTTACAATTGTATTAGAATATGTATAGTAATTGTATTATAACTTTCATTGCTTTTTTTTTTACTGTACATTATCAGTGTCATTTTTTGCTATATATATTTTTTTCTTCTTTTGGATCATTCCTACCATTTAGTTTGCATTTGTTGTTATTTCGTTGTTATTGTGCTGTGCTGTAACCCTGCTCCAAACCACAATATTCAAGCTAACACAGAGTTGGTTATGTTTTTTCACATACGAACCAAAGATCCGCACTCAAACTTTTTTTTGTAAATGATGACGTCAACACAATGGTTTAATAAGTGTGTGGAGCGATGAGACTATGTAACACACTGAAGAAGGCACAGAACATTATCAGTGTCATTTTTTGCTATATATATTTTTTTCTTCTTTTGGATCATTCCTACCATTTAGTTTGCATTTGTTGTTATTTCGTTGTTATTGTGCTGTGCTGTAACCCTGCTCCAAACCACAATATTCAAGCTAACACAGAGTTGGTTCTTTGCTGCACACCTAATTTCAGGAAACGCCTTCATACAGACCACACCTAAAGCTTTAGTGTGAACACAAATGATGAAAGCACAAACTCTGAAGGATGCTAGAGTCGGACACCACAGGTCTGAGCAGCAAGTGATGAGTTAGTTTGATCAGGGCAGCTGTCGTACAGAGCTGAAGAGACGGAGGAGAAGGTGTCATCAGCTCTGGGACAGTGACACCAGAGCACTTCACACACGCATGACAAGAAAGAGTGAGCCAAAGAAAAGAGTGTGAGCGCTGCCTCTAGTTTGTTATTCAGTGCCCGTCCCAAAATCACCTTGATGGATGACAACCTCGTCCCCCAGCTGTCATTGCCTATGCGCACACACACGCGTTCATAACGCCCCTCATTCTCAAACTCTGTCATGTTGCTGCTTGCCCTTCACAAAGGAGCTCTCCATCTCTCTGCATCTGTAAGACAGAGGGCGGTGGTGAGTACAGGTGTTGAATGTTAATCTTTGACAGTATTAACAGCTCTGCTACAGCACACGTGTCAAGCTCATGTCAGCTGTGAGCATATGCTGCGGTCAGCCCTCTAGCTCACGGACAGCTGTTGACACCGTCCTCAGAGTGATACAAAAGCGCTCCTGCCTTCTTTAGCAACGATGGATTAGGATTTTATAAAATGAGTTGGTTCTGCCTCTGAAATCTGATTTGACGTGCCATATCTGAAGCACACCTGTGACCACACATCATTTGAATTCTGCATTAATGCACCAAGAAGCAGCCTACAGAGGGGCTAATGTACTATAGAGTTGTTTGTGTTTGTTTATTTGTGTTTATTATAAATTGTATTATTAGTTGTTTTATTATTATTATTATTATTATTATTATTATTATTTAATCTTGTTTAAATCTTTAAAACAATATTTAAAAATCTAGCTTATTTGTAATAAGTTGTTTATAATTTGTTGGTTAGAAAAAGATATGATTTAAAATGAGAAGACAATTTAATAAAATATTTTATTTAAATAAAGTTATGCTAAATAAAATCATTTTTATGTCATGTTGTGTAACCATCATGTAAAATCTAATATTCATTATATTAACAAATAATCCTTATTTTCAAATACTTTGTTAATAACCAAATTAATACCACAAATATTTAAAAAAAAAAATTTCAAGGTAAGAAGCTTAACAAATATAATAAATTATTAATATACATAACAATTTCAAAAACAGTAATTTATTGCAAATTACTGTAAATTATTAATTATAATAATTATCATAGTGTATCTTGAGATTTTGCAACTTAAACTAGCCTTGTAATGTCAATTTAAAAAATATATATATTTGAATACATTTAATATACAGACATGATAATAAACACTTTCTCTGCGTTTATCCTCTCCTCTAGCTTGCTTCCTAATCTAGTTGTCTAATAAACCTGCCATTGTACAGTATATTACAAATATTGTTGGCTCTTTGACAAATTGATTTTGATTCTCTTTTTGAAGTCGCTTTGGATACGAAATAATCTGCTAAATGTGTAATTGTAAATCTAAATTACCAGTTGTAATTTTAAATCAGAAATAAATAAATAAATATATAAATGCAATTTAGAACCAATGACTCAAATCCTCTCTATTGCATGTATTTGTTTATTTATTTATTTTATGAATGAATGAATCAATCAATCAATCGATTAAAATATATTTTGATTTGTGCCAGTGAGTTTAGCGCAGGAAAACAATCATCATATTCTCTACAGAAAATTTGAAACGCGACTTTATTACTTTAATTGTACTAATTGTATTATTAAACAATCTTATATTTTACATTTTGCTTTTGTTTTAAAAAAGCAAAAAGCCATTTGATGTAGTGTAGTATTGTGCTTTACCATGGTAAAAATCTGTCCTCTTCACATTGTGGCTAAAATCACCCTTTAACTTTGGTAAAATCACTGTAATGCATAGCCTCTCAAACGTTATTGGTTTTGGTGCTTGTAGTGGCAGTAGCTGCTGTTCTTGCACAGTTTAATTTCTCTCTCTGTCTCTGTTTGTCTTTGTGTTGTTCAAACTCTCAGGTTTACGAGCACTCCTTCACTGCGGACTACATCATTTGCAGTCTGGAAACTCCGTAAGTCGCTGAGCTCATATAACAGTCGCATTAGTTTACAAAGTCTATTTGTCATTATACAACCGAGGAAAACATCGATGCAGCATTTTGCTGCTCACGTCACATCGAAGCCATTCAGAGAACTGAATCTTTCTGCTATCCTGTGGTCCTACCAACAAATTCCCTGCCTGTCTGTCCCGCGATTAGCACAGGGACGTACAGCTCGTGCCACCTGTAATTTCTGGGCCTGCAGTGCACAGCGCCTTTGTAAACGGCAACAGAATAAAGCATGTATATTTATGAGCTCTGTCAGACGGAACAGATGCTGACACAGAGCTGGGCTGCTGCCCTGGCCGGATTTAACAGCATAGCGGGATATGCTATCACTGTTAGATTCCCTGCCTCAGGAATTCCCTCATGGTGCTTTATTTGCCGTGCTGTTGTGTTGGGCTGTGTAGTACACCATGATGGAATCAATATCTGTTGGCACACGCTCCACTGCACCACATAGAAGAAGTATGCGCTGTTAGCCCTCTAAAGACATGAATGTTTGACTGATTGCCTGTCTGTCTGTCTGGAACAGGATGGCCAACTAGTCTGCTTGTCATCCAATAGCCAACTAGTTGTTTAGCAATGGCTTTGCTTCACTTTTACAGGGAAACGTGGATCCTGAACCCTCCAGAAGTGCGAAACGCTCATCTGCAGTATGCAGGATGGGGACCGCGAGGCCAGCAGCTGGTAAAGATGACATTTCCCACACTGTAAACATGAAACATTTACAGAAAAAAAAAAAAACTGGCAGCAGTGAAAAAATACAGTAGGAACATTTTAGGTTTTACACATTGAACTAAATTCATAGTATATTGTATTGAAGGCACAATGTGTAATTTTCGCCTCTAGAGGGCGCGTATTCAAAATAAACAAATAGACACAGGCGTAGTTTGATGACGCCGTGACTGAGTGTGGAATCTTGGGAGTTGTCGTCTTCATCCCCATTAAACATTCTTCGAAACATTTGGGATAATGTAAGTACACAAGTCAGCAAAATATATAACACTGTTCTAGTGGTTTTTGGATATTTTAACAAAAAAAATCTTACATATTGTGCCTTTAACTTATACAGTAAAATGTTAATATACCAACCTACCAAAGCACATAAGTCTGTTTTGTACCTTTACAATACACTGATAATCACCAAAAAACACAAGTGGTAATAAGAAAACCTGGTAATGCTTTATTTTAAAGACCGATTCTCACTATTAACTTGCATGCATATTACTTGCATATTGGCTGTTTATCACTACTTATAAAGCACCTTATTCTACGTGAATTATTTTAGATCCCGTAATCCTACCTCATACCTAAACTTAACAACTCCTTTACTATTAATAAGCCGCAAATTAGGAGTTTATTGAGGCAAAAGTTGTAGTTAATAGATAGTTAATAGTGAGAATTAGGATCTTAAAATAAAGTGTGACTGAAAACCACATGTAAGCTGTGTCCCAATTCCGGGACTGCATTCTTTGAAGGCTGCATTCCAAAACTGAATGCGTCATATCAGCCCTGTTTACACTTGGTATTAAGATGCGTTTTGCTCGATTGGATCACAAGTAGATGACAGAGACACATGCTTCACAGACACAGACCCTCCTGATTTCTCTGAGGGGAGGGTCTGTGGACAGGTGCACAAATTGCTGGGTTGTCGCTAGGAATTTTGTGCCCTGTGGGCAGGGTATATGTATGTTCGCGATCGAAAAAAATCACATTTAGTATGTGCAAGAACAGATATTGCAAGAACGCACTTTTTCTGATCTTTCGATCTGATATTGTGAAATAAGCTTGGACAAAGTACTTAGAAAGCAAAAGGAGGCAATTGAAAATTATACAGAGAGCAGCAGGTTTCGTTTCTGCTCCGATAGCAGAAATAGACCACAGCAAAAACTGTGGGTTTGTAATAGAATCAGGACTGGTTAGAGAACATTGTGCTCTCAGTAGGCAGAGAGGCAGTCATTAGTGGCTGTTTGAATGTGTTCGACCACATCTATGAAAGCAGTTCGGTCAAATGTGTTTTCGACTACCTTTGGAAGTGGTAGAAAGTGGACAAGCTCAAAAAATTTCAGACCTAGTTTAAACCTGTATTTAGCATTGTCCACTTGTGATCAGATCGACAAAAATGCACCTTAATACCAGGGCCTAAGGCTGTCCCATTTTGAAGGCTCCTTCTAATGCGGCCTTGAAATACATCCTGAAATGCGTTTTCTGAGCCAAAAATGATACAAGAAATGGATCCTTTGCCACCCTGACGATGGTGATGACAGGATTTTTTTTTTTTTTTTGAGAGAGAGACAGAATGCAGGATTACACTTATAAATGTAGGTATTGGGTTTCAAGTTACTCACATTTCTAAAGAAACAAACAAAAAAATAAATAAATAAAAATAACAGTTTAAAGTGGTTCAAATGTTGACTGATATCTTAACAATGTGTGATTTTATAGATACTTTTTATTATGTACATAAATGAACCAAGGTGAACATATTTAGACAGGTTGTGAAATCTCTTTTGTTTTCAGACAGCTGAAAGTATCACAAAAGTCCAGAACAAACGTTATTGCTGTTTATCTTGCTGTTAACCAATTAGCTCTTTTTGACCACAGCAATTTCACAGCTAAAATTACGGTCATTTTTCACTGTGCATCATCTTCAGAAGTTTAGTCCTAAAAAAGTGGTTTACTTTTGTTTTGTTCTTTGATTCATTTTACCTAACGATATTTCCTAATGGCACATGTCCACTGCACCGATAGAACTGTGCCCAATACCGCTTAAAACACCGAACACCGAGCAGCACTGAGTGGAATTCTCTCACTACAGTGGACACACTCATTCAATCGATGATGGGGAGGAAAAATATAGAATGATAGATGTGCTATTCCACCAGTTACAACAAAGAATCACGATTTTCACGCAACAGCATGGGGCACAGTTAAAGAGGAAGCTAACATGACAGTAGATTACGGACTTGTGAAGCAACAAAACAAGTGGGTGCACCTAGGGTATACGCAAATATTGATCCTTAGAAGTCATAATACACAAACAGCACTGGGCAAAAAGTAAGCATACAGTACGGTGTATACGTGCATATCGCTCCATTCACACCACTGAGCAGCAGGGATGCCAAAAGTACTCGTAGAAAAAAAAAAGTAATACAGTGCCGACTCAATTTGATGCGTGACTAACAGGCAGCTGCAGGTGAGCGTTCACATGGGTGTTTGTGTGTGTGTTCTGTAAAAATCAGCTACACCTTACGGTAATGCACCTGCACTTGTAAACTGTCAGATGCATTTCATAGTTAATTTCTCGTCCTGGCATGGTATTGGTGTAAACGCACTTGGTTTGTCTTCAGTGAGTGTAAACATGCGGTATGAAAACAAATCAGATTTGTGTCAAAATATCAGATTGGTGCACTGTAAAAATGCAGCCTGATAGACCTGCTGTCTGTTATAGTGAAGATATTAATCAAACAACAATATTGACCCAAAAAAAAGAAAATCTCTCACTGCTCTGCATGTATTTCATGTTTGACTGTTTATTTGAATAATTACTTGTTTACTTCATCGAGAAATACTTGAATGCTTCATGTCATTGTTTTAATTACTTTTTTGTGTGTATTAGTTGCTTTTTAAGGCTGAGTAATATAGCTAATAATATGCTTGGTTTTTTAGAGTAATTAGAGAAACTATCGTTTCAATCAAACACTTCCTGCGAAGTGGATTAAAAATGTTTAATCTTTAAAGATCTAAAGCACTGTAAAGCATCTGGTTAAATATTATCAGTGAATGTTTTCTATAATAAAAGATATCTAGTCATTTTCATTTGCATGCACCATTAACAACATACAAAAATGCACAACAATATTTACCAACATATACACCACTTCTCAAAAGTTTGGGACGAGTAAGATTTTTTTTTAATGTTTTTTTTTTTTTTTTAAGAAATATGTTATGTTCACAAAGGCTGCATTTAATAACACCAATTGTGAAATATTATTGCCATTTCAAATAACTGTTATCTATTTTAATACATTTTAAAATATAATTTATTCCTGTGTTGGCAAAGCTGAATTTTCAGCATCATCACTCCAGTCTTCCAATGTCTCCAGATGCCAGTGTCACATGATCCTTTAGAAATCATTCTAATATGCTGATTGTCTTAACTGTCACTTTTTATCAATTTGATGCATCCTTTATGAAGAGACATATTATTAAAAAAAAAAAAATCTTACTGACCCCAAACATTTGAACAGTAGTGTACTTGTATAAAAACATCTTAATACAAAACACACACACACACACAGAGAGAAAGACTTGATTTGATACATTGAAACAATTTAATCGAATTCACGTAACTGAGTCTACTAATTCTACAATTTACAAAATAAGTTAAGATAATGAATAATGACACTCTTTAGTAAATGTACTGACCAACTGAAAGCAATCATCACAGTTTGCACAATGGTACTTAATTACATCATTTTGGGTGCAATTTGATATCTGGCCCAACTTAAGGTGCTTAGAATATTGTTGTGGTGTTAAAATTAATATTGAGTACTGTGAAATTGCCAGAGGTGGGACTAAGTCACACAAAGTCACAAGTAAGGCTCAAGTCTTAACCTTCAAGTCTCAAGCAAGTCCAAGTCAGTTTTTGTGAGAATCAAGCAAGTCAAGTCACTTCTTTATGTCAAGCAATTCAAGTCAAGTCGTAGCTTGGGTCAAGCAAGTCAAGTCATACAAATGTTTGATGATTTAACTTAATTTATATATTGAAATAAGTTAAAACTACAGTAGTTATGAACTATGGGAGTTTTATTTGCAACAACAAAAAAATTGCAATATGCATTTCTACTCAAAATGTGTCCACATACAGCTGAGTTGTTAATACAATAAAAATCTAAAAATTAAATAAAAAATTAAAACTACATAGCCTAAAATGTAAATGTAACTGAAATTAGGCCAACATAAAAGCATGAAAAGTATTTAGGTACAGCTGTTTCAATATGCCTCAAACATTGCAGAAGTCTGTATGATTTTTTTTTCTTTGTGTGTGTATGTATGTGTATACAATATATTTATGTGCATCCCCATAAACTATCCATAGGCTTTTCACTCAAAGTCTAACACCAAAGACCAATTATTAGATACTGTACACATGCATATACTAAGTGCTATTGCAAAAAAAAAAAAAAGACTGACATTTCCTTATGAACAGTGAATAACCATTTACAATGCATTGCACTTGCAAAAAATTAAATTTGATAGTGCTCACAAACTGTATTTTAATGCAGCCAAATTCTCAATAAAACAGTTTTCACTGGTATATTTTTTCTGTTTCTGTTGTAAGACAACGGGATGAATATGAAATAGTGACTGAAACGTGGCCCATTAAGACTACATAACCAGCTCTCCCTTAGATGTTAATCGGCACAAAAATCCTTTAAGATAAAACAATGGCTGTGCTGTGATTTCGGCTATATTTGCATGTAAAATAGAGTTCGAAGTGACAGAATATCTTTTTTTAACTGAAAGCGCTGCTCCTCTCAGCCGCTCGCTGAACGGAGCAGACGCAGAGAGAGGTGTGTGCACGCTGGGAAAACAAAACCTCATGCTCATGCGGCAGTACCGGCGAGTCTCAGAAACTAAATAAGCTTTGTCCAAGAAGTCGCTAGATTTGTCGCTAAGCGCTT